TATTAGTTAATACTATCTCTAATATTATACTTCTCAATTCTCATATGCAGTCAACTTGCTACACTCGCCCTCCCCAAATAGAATAGCATTCCATAATTGATGAAGCTTGTCCTCAATTTCATGTCGCTTCTCGTCTTGATGTCCTTTGTCCTTGGCGGCACCCGTCGAGAACTTCGCCCCTCGCGCTTGTAAACTCGCGCTGTTCTGGTCCTTCACCTGCCGTTACCTGTTGGCGCTCGCTCCGTGCGAATAGAATCCGCTCATCGGGTTGCCATGTCTCGTTCTACATCTGTTGCCACGCGCGTGACTGACCGCATGACAGCTCGCCAACTCCAAGATCACTTGAATCTTGGTCATCATCAAGCTGCCGCTGCTGAACGTCGCTACGCCGTGTGATCCATCGTCGATCGACGTGGTGACTTGGGTGCCTACGAATACAGAGTGGTTTGGCTGGGTATACCGGTCCCGCTGGTCGTACTTGGGAGCCACGTGAGTGGCTACTTGCGGAGCTCGCCGACTTCAGCGAAGCGGTCCAACTGGTCGATGACTGGAAAACTCTGGAATCCGGATCACGTTCGCACGTTTCTGCCGTGAGCGAGACGTACCGCTCTTGATTGAAGCTGATGACCAGGACCTCTGTGGCTTCGCTGCACTCGCGTCGCGTTGGGCTTGCTGGACTGGTCCTCTCCTTCTTTGACGCGTTTGTGACTGGTGTGAATCAGCCTCACTATGGGTCGAGGGATACTGTGTGGACCACACTGCTGAGGTTTGTGAAGTGGTCCAATTGCCGTGCACCCGGATGGGTAACCCACAGATTGACGAGGGTACGCTACGCGTAACCTGCACACCGACAGCATAACAGGTCCAAACACGACCGCTCACTTAGCATCTCCCCAGGCAGCAGCTTGAGCGCCATGACGGTGTCAACTCTCGCGAACTCACCCGGTTTCCGAAGACTTGCAACAACACTGGTATGTTTCCCATGAAGATCACGTGTATTGTCGATTAGGTTCTTCCATTGACTAACTTCCGATTTCTTCTCGACGTATACATAGATGCAGAGCTTGGAACGCTTGGCTCGTCCTGGCTCTTTTCGGCGCTTTCAAGCAAGACACCTCCATGCTTGGCAGGATCGTACCATTGACGAATCAAGTTGTAGAACTCATCCATCTGACATTTGCCGGCGTCGTGGATCTCGACGCAGCCGCGACAGACGAAAAGGCAGCGATCCGGCGGATGGTCCCTCTTGCCGCAGCGCTGACATGTTAGCCTCGTCCAACAGTGCAGGTCGTCGTGGCGGTGTGAATTGTAGTGAGTGCAGCGCTGGAACTGAGCTGGCCAAAAGACTGGGGACGAAGTCCAGGCCGCAGAAGGAAGACAGGCT